ACAATGTGTTTATACCTGACCCAACCAGAATAATTATGCAGTCAGTTGCTGTAATTCATGGTGGGCTGCGCTGTACCTCAGGGATGACACACTAGATTTAGAATGGATGTGTGCATGTGCTAATTACAGATGCATTTTGCCACAGTCAGAGTAGACCTCTGGTGGACCCTCGCATGACGATATATGTTATTAAATGAAACTTTCCATGCTCCTTTACGTAACACATGTAAAGGAAAGGACATCAATACCTTCTTTGTGTGTCATACATTCCTAGATTTGGTTTTCTTGTAAATATGTGAGATTTTGTCATGAGAGGTTACATGGATGATATATATATAGCTAAAAGATTGTAAAACAGTCTTCGAATTTAGCTGGGTGTCCGACGCCCGCGACATGTAGAAATCTCGGCGGGCATGGAAACATTGCAAGCTCACTTGCCCGACGGGCTCCTGATTTAAAAGTGCATAAACTATAATACAAATGGCCATTAACTACATGCAGGCATGCACACAGGCACGCACGCATGCACACAAACGCACCCACCCCAGGGTTCTCCCCAGGATGAAATTCAAACAGGGGGAGGGGAGGGGAAGGGGGAGGGGGGAGGGGAGGGGAGGGGGGAAACTAGGGGGTCCGGGGGGCGTGTTTTTTTACCGTACCACTAATTAATGCGTAAAATCGCCACCAGACGGTATTTGGGGTTCTTGTATATATAAGATAGCCAAGTCGGTGTACAGTTAGTGTTGGGTGTGGGACAGGTTAACTGTTTGTACTTGTGTATTGTGTGCAGGCACGGTAAAAATACACGCGCCGGGTGTCCTGGTCGAATGGGAATTCTTGACGATCGATTCCCGCGCTGGCAAACTTTTATTGTGGTGGAATTTAATGGGGGCGGAGGTAATTTAAACGGGGCGCAACGATTGAAACAGGGGGGAGTTTTCCCAAACAGGGGCGCGCGCGCCTCGTTTGCGCAACGTAGGGAGAACCCTGCACCCACGTGCGCATGCACACACACATACAGTGACTTATTATTGCCTTTTTGCGAGAGAAACCTGGAGTTTTGTGAACAACGATAATAACGTTACTCGTCAGGAAACACTAGGGCAGGCTTCTCTGGATGTACTCACTCCTGGGACTCTCCCTGATAGGCTGATACCTCTAACCATGTATGAGCATCAATTGCCTCATTAGTGCACGTGATTATAGCTGGCATACACTTTGTTCGTGGCTGTGGGCAGATTTCCTCCTGCGAGAGTTGACTGTGGGGCCACTGTACTAACTACGATAGACATGATCCTATAGGCAGTCTATGGGTGCTAGGAAAGATTTGCTTGCCTATTAAACTGCAATCTAGCACAGCCAGCCGATTGCTCTGGTTGGCAGGGTTGCTCGACTTTCAGTCCTCCATCACCTGTACAAATCGGAAGATTCCATGTGCTTGTGATGGCTCGACTGGGAAAATCTCCCTGCTTGTAGTAGCATCAACATATAATCGGTCTGATGCTAAGTTCCAGAGGTGGAGAGAAGGTGACGCCACTATCTGCAAAATGCTGCAGCTAAAAGCGGAACGCCAGCTCTTGTTCATGATGGCAGCTGAGCACTGGTATGTGGAAGGGTGAAGCATAATGGTATCTGTTGGTCTGGTATAGGACAGGAAGTCTGGAACTCCCCCCCCCCTGGTGTCCAGTTTATCGTGGCCTGGAGAAGTGGGTGGTCAGACAACCACACTAAAATGGTTTCTCTCCACCTGAAATTAGAGAGACTAGCCAACTCCATTCCTCCCACGCAGGGCAGAACGGTAGTAGATGCACGAAGATCCCCACACCTCGGTTGAGGGAGGCATTGGCAATCACCGAGTCGTCCTTCATATGTGGCAGACGATACACCCAGGTGCTGATTCGACGGTACTGTGGTCTAGGTACCACATGCCATTCTCAAGCAGTGGGCTTTTAAGTTTTGTGTTATTGGTACCCACCAAGCAGGGTTACTGACACGTGGTAAAATGCAGTTGTACAATCAGTATGGGCTTGGTTCAGAAATCGTAAACGTGCCACTTCCTGCCAACACATGTGCCATATCTCAAGCCGCTACTCCGAGATGCAATCCAATGACATGCATTTCGAGGGTTGTTTCCTTCTATAGAACTGAAAAGAATTGTTCCAGGAGTTTCCCCACAGGGACACAGCGAGATTCTTAAAGTGGGATGTGGGCAATTAGCCGTGGCATGGCTCGTTGTAGGGACAAGTTACATTATCAGGGTGCTATCATCTGTGGATAGACTGGGTACACTGGGACAATAGACATCCTACCGTATATATAGGTGTTATAACGACGTTTCTACGTAAGCGTGACACTTCACGATGAAGCACTAAGTCGAAGTCAGATGCAGCTTGTAGAATCGCATGAGCGTCCGTCCGTGATCCGTGTGTCCGTGTGTCCGTGTGTCCGTCAACAGTTGGGCACAAATCTTAACTGCTCGACGTACGGTCACGATATTTGGGACGTCGGGGGGGATCATGAAAAAGACACGGGATGACCAATTTGGGGGTCAAGGGTCAAAGGTCAAGATGTGTCAACGGAGAGGGAATATTTTCCCCTTAACTTAAGGTATAGGAGGAAATACGGAATTGCGGCACAAATCTGAACGGCTCGACCTATGCTCTTAATATTCGGTGTATAGTGTGATGGGCAGGAAACCCATCACCAGTGCGAAATTGGAGGTCAAAGGGCAGTGGGGGAAAGGTCAGATATCAGACATTTTTTGAGGACATGGTTTAATGGACAGAGTGGAAAACTTTTTTGTTTCAGCACTGACCTACCATTTTTATCACTTTATTGAAAGGACCATGAAATGTGCTTTCCACTGATGTGCGAAGAGTAAGTGTCTGATAACCTTTTGACCCTCAAGAGGAGGGTTAAACATGGATTTGTTGACTGTTAACAAAGGACTGAACTGTGTTTGATTGTACTTGTGTGGTCGTGGAAGACTTAAATTTTACAGTGAAATTCTGCATGCAAAACTTACTTGAACAACGTTTACGCGCCTTAAATCATATATGAACTTTGACCATTCTCTATATGAGATTCTGTACGTTGGGAATACAATATCAATAGCACTTACGCAAACGTCTGTTTTTGAATAACGCCAACTATAAATAGGCCTACCTCGCAGGTGGGTGGCTGATAGTATCACAGCATGGGCTAAACGAAGGTAGCAACTAGTTCGGATTATCTATTTCCTGCACCTAGTCAGTATGCACGCCATCTATCGGAACAGAGTGAGGAGAATGTCCCGGCAGGATAGGTCAAATGTACCTCAGATGAGCCCAGTCGCTCTGCGGCTCTTGTTAAATTTTATAATTGTATAATAATATCAATTTTATTATATAATTATGAAATACTTGCTAAAATTTATACAATGCAATTTAATATTTATGCGATCATCTAGATTCTAGAGAGAATTTGCTAGTGTTGCAGACAGGCAGGCGCAGCTGGCACATGTTGCCACAGTAGGGATTCATTGATCAGTCACAATTGTATTGGATATGAAATGGCAGCTTTGCTGTTGATACACTGTAGTATGTGTCCCTGTTAACTTCTGTTCGTTTTCTAATTGTTTGTAGCAGAGCAGAGTTTATTTCTTAGCCGTACATGTTATAACAAAGTGTGAATAAATGTATATTCTAACATGATAAGTATGTAAGAATTGACTTTGAAACCATTTGCGTCACATTTTTCTGTCAAACAAAATGTGTATCTGCAAGTGAAGAACCATCTGTGTTGGAGACATTAGCATTAATATAGTTTCTAGCGTTCGCTGTGAACTGTTGAGTTGTGCACCACGAGACGGTTTCGTTTGATCAGTGTACACTCCAAAAGACTAACAGTAACATGTTTCATAATGTCGAGGAATAGCTTTGTCATTTTCATGTAAAGTTAAATGCACTTTTATATTATAAATGATTTTGAATAATAGCCTTGAAACTCTTGCATATCGATTTTTCCACCAAACAAAAACGTAACAGACATCTTATAGGCATATATATATATATCGTATAATATATGATATATGATATATGCCTTTATACAGCGTGTGTAATGTTGAATAATGTCAGCCAGAATATGTATATTGCTCAGGCATACTACCAATTATTGTAAGTGCAAATGCAATTCATTGGTGTATAAATTTACTTCGTGGATCAATGACGTTCTACCGATCGTTACATGTTCACGTAAACTTGGCTTGGCCAAAAAAGTACATGTACGTGCACGATTTAATATATTTTTAGGTGGCAGTCCATCCCTTTATATTTTGTCTTAGTGACTTTTTCTAACAGTAAAGTATATATTGTATTACGTTCATATTGCAATAATGGTGATTGAATACGCATCTGTATAAATGTAGATATTTTAGCCCACCCTGTGCATCAGGGGTTAATGGTGTGGTCGTGTCGGTTGGGCGCATCAATTGTGGGGCCTTGCCCGTATGATCACCGCTGAGAATCACAATTTTGCTTACACTGTCTTTCGTACCACGCGAGTGCGGGAGGAAGGGCAGACAGGCAGACAGGCATGCAAGCTCGCGCAGCTGCTACATTGTGCTGCATGTGGGCAAATATTTCATCCTGGGTTATGGATTTCCGCTAGAAATCCTGACACTGAGGAGCAGGTCTATACTCTACCATAGCACCAGAGTTTAATGCCAGCATAGGCGTCATTCTGTAGTCTTCTCGTGGTCGCTTACGTACGTAAAATGGTTGGCAGCTTCATACACCGTGTGTATACATCGTGTATTACGTTGGCGTGTCGTGCTGTTGTGAAGCTGAGCCAGCGTGAAGTAAATCAATCATTTTTGTGTTGAAGGCGTGATAATTGATTTTACTCACCATGGTAATGTCAAGATAACCACGTATAAAATTTTGCCGTATTGGATCGCACGTTTGGAAATAACGCTAGTGTGTTTCGCATATGAAGCCATTTTTCCCCTTTTTTTATTGTAGACAGTCGTGAGGGATGGGCAGCAGTGGATGATATCTGCACGACTTACTGCATATTCAGGATAGTGCCACAGCTGATGCGAAGAGTGCTGTGGTTGGTTGGCAGATTAACTACTAGTCATTTACCATCCAGCTCTCGGAGTTAACGGATGCTGGCATAACTTCTGTGCTCGGCATATAATCTCGATATCAATTCCGTTGGTCACTGCTCTGAAGAATGCCGGTAAGTGTAAATTCACGTTATTCAAGTTCACATATTTCACGTACATCATCACAATATTTAGCAACCATTGCTCGTGCATTATGTCATATATGTAACATGTACGTAGATATCACTCGTTGGTCCTTCTATGCATATATCTTCCATAGTGTTTCTATGCAGCAATGCCTCCTGACATAGTAAGAGTTGCGTTTTGAAGGTTTAGCCATCGGTTAGTACTGTTTGCCTCACAGCATATCTGTTGGTGATTGACGTTGTCTGTCGTTCAGTGGTGATTCCTTACCTAATGATTTCATGATCTTCTCGTATTCTCTGGGGAAATATGTGTTTAGCGAGATCGACAGCTATCTGCTCTGTCCACCCGGACCATCTAACGGTCTATAACATCGTGGTGATATAGCAGGGTGCGAAATTAACGGGAGTCCGGAGTCAAATATACTCCCTGATTTACTGCCGGACTCACTGATTTGACATATGCAGGAGTCCGTATGACTCCCTGAATATTTTGCCATACTAACTATAGTTCATTCCAGAGCACGGCCTTGTAGAATTACCGTATTTTTTCAGCAAATGTCCAAAGAAAAATTGGCAGACGTGCAACCGCATGAATCTTCAAAATAAGCACATGCGTTATTGTTAATGTCTTTAACTTTGAACTTCAGACTGCGGACTCCCTCATTTTGCTGCGGACTCCCTCTTTTTGAGGGCAGGGAGTCCGTTGGACTCCCTTGTTCAAAAGTTAATTTCTACCCTTGTATAGCATGCACCCAAGTGAGAAGCGATGTTGAACGAATTGAGTTAAATCATTTGCGATCTATTCGGTATTCATGCAGTGTCGTCTTGGTTGTAACAGAGGTCAGGAGGCGGTATATGAGAATTGCTTTCCCATATTATATATATATAGAGCTAAGGATATGGCTAGAAACTGATTTTGTCCTGTCTTTGACAATACAAAAATTGTGTGTTCAGTCAGGTTAGGTCTGAATTCTGACCAAGTTTACATTTACTGGTGGTATAGGTCTCAGTGCAGTTCTAGCAGGTTTATGAATGAGATTATACTTTCGCATTCACGGGCATATGTAATAGTAATAGTGGCAATAGCAAGCCACACCCTGGAGTAAGATGGACCGTGGGTCGATTGTTCATTTCTCATGCTCTGATTAATGCATGGTTTGGTGCTTACGGCTTCCATTCCTAGTTACTCTCATATCAGGGATGTAATAATGACAGATAATTTGTCATTATTAACCCCTGGTCATATCTAAGCACACCGTTACCTTTTTCTATGGAGGTTTACAAAACTCTGCATACTAAATTAAATGGACCCAGTTTGTTTCTTGCTCAGTAAAAACGCACTAATTTTGATATATTCAAGTAACAATGTTACACACACAGAAATTTGCTTGCGGATAGGCCCCTACAGTTCGCTTCCGCTTCTCTATGCGTGCTAACAAAACAGCAATATTCCTGGCAAACGTCGCTGTAGGAAGGCGTGACCTCATCCCAGATACATGCCGATCAATATAAGTGATCAGTTTGGCATGCTGATAGCTCGCAGCAGACTAATGGAATTATATTAGCTGTACTAGTGCCTCCAGGATACCAACAACGTGGTCTACCTTTCAGGAAAACAATAATTGTCCATGTACACATGCCGGTTTCCTATCATGTGTTTCCATTTAACCAATTCCAAAGACAATCAATCTCTCCTGCGGAAATGATATATTTCTCTCGTGAGATATGGAAATATTGAAAATCGTGGAATTGGAAGCATTTCGAGCATTTATCTGTCTAAGAAAGTTGGTAACGATGTGCTGGGAATATCACACAGATCAGATTGATCGTTTTATGATATAATAAGGAGAGCAGAAGAGTATCTTATGTCTACATGTCTGTCTGTATATTATCGTATGACAGGAATTTTAAAAATTAGGCTGAACTGAAAAAAAGAATTTGCTTTACGAATTTGCTTCTTAATTATCATGGGAAATGTTAGGAGTTGGGTAATTTTAACACGCTTATGGAGTGTTGGATGATGTCGCAATTTCTGATTATGGCAGCTACAGTTTAGTGTTTAAAAATACAAGAAAATAATAAAGAAGCTGTTTTGCATGTGAATAGGCCCAGAATATGACTGATTGGAACGGGTCAATTTTTATATTGTCAGTAACGAGAATCTTGCTCGAATTCGAGTCTAATAGTGCAATTTTAGTCACTTTATAATTTTAGTGTAATATGAATGCTATTTTAGTGTTTTAATATGAATAAATGCAATAGCATCAAAGGGAGATTTGCCCCAAACCTCTTTGACCAAGTCTGCGATGATTATGGCTTGCACGTTTTTATCGATTGCTTTCCTCATTCTTAGCAACTTGGGACATCAACTCATTTGTGCAGACCATTTGATAAATACAGCGTTCTCCATAGGCCTTTAACACGTGTCTGTGATACTTTCAAAGCTGAAGCTAATTTGCAACGTTCCATAAATCCTGCAATGTGCATTAATTGCCTAATGATCATGCCTTAATTTCCAGATGTGTCTACTTTTAATAGTTCCAACACAGTCATATCATGATTTCACTGCTTGATGTACAAATCTCTGAACTGATCGAGTTTGAGGCTGCTCATGGAACACATAATTGACTCTAATTGGTACAACACCATCCCGAGCCCTCCCACATCCGTCCATAAAAGACGTGCTATCTGAAGTTCCTGGAGAGAACCCTGCAGTTACGGAATTAATTATCTGTATGTGTGTATTGTTACGTTTGTTCCAGATATTCAAAGCAACAAAATGTCCTTCGGACGATCTCTCGTTGAGCAACTGTGCCATTGTAAGTCCCAAGGACTTCACAAAGGATGTCAAGTAAGTCTAATGTGTTGCGGAGATGGTAATTGATTTAGGGACATAGGAATTCTCAAGTGACAGCAGTCGGTCACCAGCTGACTATATGTTTTAGCGGCTACATGCATGTTGAACTGAAGGGGGCTTTTAAACTATTATCCCTGTGATTCTTCAGTCAGCTCACGCGTCTAGGGTTAGAGTAACACCATGGTCACTCCTGTTGTGCCTTTCAGCAGGGTACTTTATTCCAACTATCTTCAGTCGCCTAGATTAACTCTGAACGAACGTTGAATGTCTGAACGTACGTATCTTATGACAGTATCACAGAAACACAGTTGCTAAAGCCCTGTATATGCACCTCCAGAAGCAAAAATTATTTAAACGAAAGCTGTTAAAGCATACTATTACTACATGACATATAAAAGTAGTGTTAGGTTTTGTGATGGGGTATTGGCATAGGAATCTGTTAGAGCAGGGGTTCTTAACCTGTGGTCCATGGACTTTTTTGGGGTCCGTGGATGGGCTTCAGGGGGGTCCGTGAACCCTACTGTATTCAATATTTGTGTTTATGTGCTTTGTGCATTTTTCTGGACAAGGGTCCATAGCTTTCACCAGATTCTCAAAGGGGTCCATGATTCAAAAAAAGTGGTAATAAGAACCACTGTATTAGAGTAAACACACTTGGAAGAGCGATTGGATGAGAAGATTGTTGTCGGCGACATTTCCTGTGCTGTGACCGCTATTGCATATAAGATCGGAATATCTCGGTTTGCCAATTTGCTGCTCTGCAACCAGCGATCTTGGCGTGCAGTGTGAAATCAATATCCAGGAAAAAAATCAATATTCTGTTGGGTTGTTTGGTGCCCCTAATCACGGGGGGGGGGGGCTATGGAGGAATGTAAGATCATTATTCTAATTACTTCGGTCGATCATGAAGGCGCGTAGTACGTGACACGTTTATTGGCACATGTTACTGACAGCATTTCGGCTCAGGTTTGTGTATGAGACATATCCAAGGCTCGAATGTACTGGTATATAGTCAGCAAAGTAACTCAGCATATCCTAGGATCAGCTTGGCTCTCCAAACAGTCATTTGTCAGTATAGCCATGTATGCATAGTGACATATTTACACATGTACAGCAGCTAGTACTAGTAGTTTATCTACTCTTGATTCTACCTATCTTTATTATATGTACTAACTTTATTATATATACTAACACATTTATCAGCAAAAGTTCTTAACTCAAATGTAAGAATATCAGGAAATTATAGCTCATCAGGACTTAATACAGGAAAACGCTCTTGGGAATTTAAATGCGTTGCTCCGATAAGGACCAACAGTCTGTCAATGATAGTTTCCAACCATTCAGTATCCCTGGGTAATTATTTTCATAACATATATTAAAAGTCTATGCTTTATACTGGACGCTAATACCAGTAATATATAAAATTATAATTAATCTTTGGTTCAATTGAAGACTGAGTCTGTGATAACTACAACACTTGTCACATGCTGCTGAGTATTGTGAGCCATCCTGGAACATTCAGGCTCTTGACTTTAATAGCTTCGCTTCAAGCCTACCTAAGACTTGCTACAGATCTAAGATATCGTAGATTGTATAAATTCTAACATTGACAGATATTGCGCTCTTACCAATGGCAACATACCTGTACGTGTATATATTGCTTGTGTGGCTTCATACCCCTACCCCCTTTGTCCAGCACCTCTTACAATCACTAAAAGAAGCAGCATTACAACTTTTTAAAGCTCGTTTTTAGACACGAATCCCAGTCAACGTAGCTATGCTATTATTTCAGAACATGATTGCTGCCAATTCCAACATCGTAGTTGGACAGGGTACGTTGCTGCGATTAGCTTGGGAGGCGTCACTGTCTACCTCTCAGTCTCATACCAATAATAAGCAACAATCTAAAATGTAGTGCACCCTCCAGAGTACTATAACACCATATATTGTGCTAATAGTAAACTATTTGTGAAATTAGTGGTTTTGATGATAACGCATTCCCCTGATTATGCAGCCATATTTTTCTGTTGCACGTGTGCTTTAGAATAGTGAAACTGTGGATTTTGTGGGATTGTGACATAAAACGCTGTTATATTTATTACATCAAGCAGCTGTTATTCTAACGTATGTGTAACTAACATAAACTCGTATAGTTAAATCTATAAAACAATAATATAAACGAAGATATTAAACTAAGCTAACATTCTTCATAAAAAAGTTTATTACTAATTTTTCCAACGAAATTTTGTCATGATGTAAAGGTATACCTTTATGTTTCTACACCATGGTGTGTCACTGTTACGCATAGAGTATTGCACATCGTGTTCTCAAATATATTCTCTTGCCTTTGTCTGTGCCAAAGTACATGTAGAGCATTCGTATCCAAAGTGGCCACTGAAAAGCGGCCGCAGATCCTGAGCTCTCTATTGATTTCTTATACTTGTAGACAGCAACTGTGTAAATTGTCACTGCCTCCTGGGTGAACAATTGTTTACACAGTGACACTATTTGAACAAATGTTGCTTAAATGTAACCGGAGTGCCAGTGCTGCCCATATAAGCTCTGTTGCATCTGTGTGCAGAGTGATAAATGTGTATGCAGTAGATGCGTCTTGCATAATGTTGATATTACACAAATTCTGTCTGCATCGGCACTGTTTGTCATTTCACATGCATTATATTTCGCCGTGATATACAAGATTAAATCCATAAAAATATTATTAGTGTTGTTGTAAGATCGCTAGTAGTCTTACCTGTGTATTATACTCTCTATGTTGTTTGTTGGGGCAGAGGCAGAAATTGCAGCATATGATATATTATGCATGATTACTCCATCTCTTTTGTCCAGGGTAAAATATTCATAATTAGAGGCAGATACGGTTTCTATAATTAATTTTGAATCTCTTAGGAACCGTCTTGTCAAGTAAAAGTTCAAATATGTATTTTGTGTTAATGGTCATTTTTATGGTAAATCTCCTGCAACAAAAACGCAAAATTTACATTTACGACTTTACTAGCATGAGAAATAAATGAAGCCTGACTGTAATCGATAAAGAATGTGAGGCTTGTTTGCTCTGCGTTTCTGTTCCTTTTAATTATTCAGTTGTTATATGCCATACTACAGTGAGCATTGTAGGTTTCCGTGGGGAAAGTTATCCGGAAACAAGTGTGCTAGCATTTGATAACTTTGGAGGCATTAACAAGATCGAACCTGCACTAAAAATCACAGACTGTGAAATTGTCTCCGTGTGCTTGATTGCATTTGCGATATGTAGCCTCGTGCAGTTTGATTGTCCGCAGTCGAGCATGTAATAGTTTAAAATTCAACCTAAAAAGCTATGTTAACACAGCTTACACTGTCTGGTCAGCTTAAACACAACACAATTAAAACAACGCGATTTGATAGGCACAGGTGAAAAAAGCGTGTCATTGCTCTGCAATTTTTACCACAAGTTTATGTGTTATAAATCCATGGTCCTTCGGCTTATAGATCCTGATTCTGAAACACTAGCTTACAGCACCAAGTACAGTATTGCTACGCTCTGCCCACAAAATCGTTAGTCTACCCCGGTGATTGCAATTTATTAGATTGTCTTCAGTAATGCTGTTTGTGCCGTAATTGACGTAACATAATTCTTCTATGTCGCAGGCATGTTGTTATACATACGGGACCTGGTCGCAAATACATATTCACGATACGTGTTGACAATAGCATAAAGCAAGGATACGTGGGTTTCAACTTGCCTCAGGTATGTTGTATATAGAGGAGTATTTTATATATCTCTTATTCATGTTCATTTAGCATTATATGAAAATCTGACTAATGTTCTCGTATTTTATTCAGTAGTACACAACTCTTCTGTTGTAACTTGGTTGTTATCATTCGCTTTGCTACAGAGGAAGTGGGCAGTGTTGTCGATAAATCAGGAGATAGATGTGGAACCCTTTCGCTTTGAAGCGCAGCGACAGTACCTCAGCAGCATCACGATAGAGGCTGACTTCCTCCAGAAGAAAAAGTAAACGTCTATTACATCTTTGTAGATAGTGTGGCTAGAATAAATGGGCCATCGTAATTCCATGGTGATGATTAGTATTATTATAACACATGGATAAAGTCGCAGCTACAACTAATATTTCAACTAAGATGTTTGTGACAATGGTCCCCATTACTGCTGGTACAGTTTTCACTGTTCTGTATTAGTTTGATGCCACAATGTCAAGAAAGTGTGACTGTAAGCTATGCCGTGTAAAAATCATTACGCTCTGTAGGTTTTATGCGTACTGTGTTGTTAATGTTAGGAAGCGTATCTGTAATATGTAGCTGCTTCATTGTCATGGGTTTATTGTGAATACAAAAGGGTTTATAGACAATTTTTTCTCTGATATTTGTTATTTCTATTTTGTATTTTAGTACAACCACTGATCCATATGACACAGAGAAAATGGCCTTGGAATTTGTTATGTGCTTCCCAAACATGGCGTTTACTGTTGGGCAGGAGTTGGCATTTAGTTTCCGTGACAAGAAAATGCTCAGTTTGACTATAAAAGAAGTTGAAGGTGCAGTTCAAATTTATTTTATTGGGTGGTTTAGATTAGTTTTGTTAGTTTATGCAATATGAACAATGTTTCTGTTGTTTGGTAACATCTATTAAGCTATTAGACTACTTTAAATCAGGAAGCAATTAATTAAGAGTAGATTCTCTGATAATATATCAATAAACCATTATCACATAGAGTAAGCAGCATAAATGTGGTTCTACCATTATTTGTCATTAGGCCAGACTTTTTCACCAGACTTCAGAAAGTCAGAAATTTTATCTTTACACAAGTGTATATTGTAAACATGAGGTGTAATTTCTGTCACAAGTATGAGATACATTGGACCTACACAAACAGCAGTAGTCCTTTTTCCAATTCAATCTCAAAGTAAAATTATTGCATATCAGACTACATTATGTATTAGGCACACAAACATCACAAATGCATTGCACAGGCATTGCATACTTACTGTCATCTGATTGGTTGATTCATTCCTCACAATAATTGAACCTCAAAATAACATATTTAAAGTAACAAATAGTATATCCCTCATGAACAGATCAAGTATGATATGTAATTTTTATGGTTGCAAAGCATGCCTTTTGGTTTCATATCTCTTTTTTTATTGCTTTTTTCTTACCATGCATAGTGAATTGTATGAATGGGATAACCATTTCTATCGGGTTTTGCTTCTCCTTACAGCAATAGACATAAATGCAGTGCAAGCAGGGATGCCAGCTAAACCTCTGAAGGTAGAGTGTGGTCAGATAATGCCCAACACGTTTGTCCTGTTTGAGAAGGCTGAAAACTCTTCATTAAACCTAATAGGCAAAGCCAAAGCGTAAGTAATATGTTCTGCTCGGTCATCTAGTTAGTTGTGTTAACATGACTTTGAATTTTATTGTTAGCACTTACAAAACATCTTTAGATGTTTGTTATACTTTATCTGCTCAAAAAGAGGTACAGAAAGTGCAATATTTAACTCGATGATAGTGACAATGAACCATTTTCCCATGCGTGAATTGACTGTCTGTGTGTTACATCTACTAGTTATACTTTGAATTTTCTAGTAGCTTGTTTTCCTTGATATATCTGCACTGCTTACAACGACTGATATAATGTTTTCAGATAACTTCTACTTCCTTTACATGAGACTAGCTGGTGCTAGCTCAATAACTATTTCTGTAACAATACGTTTAGTGATAGTATTTATTTACGTGTATTTTGGCAATAAATTTCTAGGAAGATGCAACACCAGTCAATAATCAATCCAGACTGGGATTTCCAGAAGATGGGCATTGGCGGATTAGACAACGAGTTCAATGCTATCTTTAGGCGTGCTTTTGCATCACGTGTGTTTCCACCGGAGATTACTGAGCAGTTAGGTACGGTGTATTATGAGATGTTTCTAATGGCAATGCACTTTTAAGATTTTAGCAATATCTAAATGTATGATAATTCCATTATCAAATATTTTCTTATGTGAGCCTTTAATTTAATTGGGTGCAATGACCGGTGCGAGTAATTTTCCGTTAATTTTGTTATTATCATAAATTGTATTATCATCATAGCTGTTGCATGCTACCTTTAATATGAAATGTTACCACTATGAACATATCTATACAAGATGCAGCAGTGCAAGTGTGCAAATTTTAAATTGGTATCAGGTACCCTTTCAGTTTGTGGCAATCCCAATGGATATGATAGTAACAGTATATTTCATATGTAGGCGTTCGACACTGTAAAGGCATCCTCTTGTTTGGGCCACCTGGTACGGGCAAAACCTTAATGGCTAGACAGATTGGGACAATGCTGAATGCAAGGTATGTATTTGAGTGTCGGCTAAAAAGCTATAATAAACTAATTGAGAGCTAACAGTATGATAATCTTATAATATTTAATATAAGCAATTGTTTTTTTCACCATCCCTCTATTTTATAATTTTGTATATATGTTGCTCTCAAGTAGTGTATGCAAATCTAAGTACTGTGGAAGGTAAAAAGCAATTTAAACGTGTTATTTAAGAGAGCCAATCATCGTCAATGGACCTCAGATACTGGATAAGTATGTTGGTGAATCAGAAGCCAATGTTCGCAAGCTGTTTGCTCCTGCAGAGGAGGAAGAAAAGCGGGTGAGTACATGATAAACTGCCAGTAAAATTGAATTATCACCACATGTGCATATACGACATTACGATTCATCCTGGGTGTATAAATCCCTGAATAGTGTAATAGTACCTATTGTGGTTTGTTCTCTCATGTTTACAGCTTTTAGTTGAACTGATTTGAAGTTTTGTTGACGTCCTACTCTACATCCTATGTCTAAAAATGAAAATATAATAATATTGAAACTAGCAAAGTTATTTTTTTATCTGCACAGTCATATGTTGTTTCACAATGTTGGAGTTTAAAAAAGCCAAGCCATTCTTTTGGCATCATGTTCTCATTAGATGGGACCAAACAGCGGGCTTCACATAATCATACTTGACGAGATTGATGCAATATGTAAGGCGAGAGGCTCTGTCGCTGGTGCCTCAGGAGTTCATGACACAGTCGTCAACCAACTGCTGTCAAAGATAGATGGAGTTGACCAGTTAAACAACATACTGGTAATTGGTGAGCAGCAATATTGACATGATCTGAGGATACTGCAGTTTGAGCAATGATTTCCTTAATGATGGGCATTTACTAGCATCGCTTAATTATTCTCCTTCTCTAACAACAGGAATGACTAACAGAAAAGACATGATTGATGATGCTCTGTTACGACCTGGCCGATTGGAGGTGCAGATGGAAATAGGTATTGTTTTCAAAATGAGGAAATATGGAATTTACCCCCATTTGACTTTTCGAATAAAACACAAACACGAACGTATGCATCATGGTATTAACGTTTCTCAAAAAGGAAGACACCAATACCACGAACACTAACCCAATTAGCTGATATGATACAGTAATTTTATGTGAAAGATGTACAGTGGTGATAGTTTGAAGGTGTTCATTTTACACATGACAGACAAAAATTTGGTTTTTCGTACCCTGTCAGAGAGGGGATTTGTGTAATACACAGCCAGATGCAATTCTATGAGTTTATTGTGATGATGTATCATTCAAAACATGGTGCCTAAATGTATGATGGCATGTTGTGACGAAGACACAATCAGGTGAGTCAATTTTATGTACGCAGACATTTCGGCTAAGCTGTAGTTTTCTGTAGGAAAGTGTGCTTGCAACATTATTGTTAGTTTGTGTGACGTTATTGCCGCGTTAATTGTTAGATGGGAAACAAATGACAAGCAACCTATATGCTGTTTCACTTTACGAAATACTGGGGCTGCTCTGACTGTAACTTTGTTGGTCTAGGTCTGCCTGCTGAGGATGGACGTGTGCAGATCTTGAAGATTCACACAGCAAAGATGAGGGAAAATGACAAGCTAGCAGCAGATGTGGATCTGTTTGAACTTGCGCAAATAACCAAGAACTTCAGCGGTGCAGAAATAGAAGGTCTTGTGCGAGCAGCGACCTCCACAGCACTGAACAGACTAGTCAAGGTCGTGCACTGATTACTGCTTAGTTAACAGAGACAATATACAGATATATTTTGTTGTCCGTATTATCAAGAGTGAATAAAAACAATTGATTTTATGAGGTTTAATTATTAAATAAGCACCGTTTGCTATCCTTAATCTAGCTATGATTTATTATGGTTAACTTAATAAACTTGAACTCAAAGGCTACCTTGAATATTCACCTAGCATCATGCCATGTGAACAAAGGCTGGTAATGTACCTACATATCAATAACATGGCCAATTTTGGTGATTGGAGGAAAATATTATTTTAACTTTTTTAACAGGCATCAAGTAAAGTAGAGGTTGATCCCAATGCTATAGAAAAAATCAAGATCAGCAGAGAAGACTTTCTGAATGCATTCCAGAATGATATCAAACCAGTATGCAGTTTATGTTTTAATCATCTAAATATCTGAAAGTGACATATCATGACTTGCACTATCTGTGTTACCTTCAATTCGGTTTTATTGTAGTAACGATTACAATGTCCTCATACTATTCTATTATTTTTGATTAATAATATTTTTTTCTGTGTAGTATAAATCTATGTTACATTCTCACGGTATGAATTAAACAAATACCCTTGATGATTATGCAAGGTAATGCCATGACTTTTTACAGTTTCTACCCGAATTGCATGATAGGCTAAATCATCAATGAATGCTCTCGGTACAAGTGCAGTGTGATAAATTCACAGGCGTTTGGCATGGCAGAGGAGCAGTTTGAAAGGTATGTGGCCAATGGCATCATCAACTGGGGTGAGCCAGTCCGTAGCATCTTGGAAGATGGAGATCTTCTTATCAGCCAGGGGAAAGCTGGAGAGTCAGGAGGTCTTGTCACCGCTTTGCTGGCAGGTGACTACTAGCTTATAATACCCGCTTTACTAATCCGTTTTCGCACGTTCTGCCTATAGAGGGTTCCGCGACTTGCACTAAAAATAGCAATATTACCTACAATCCCGTGCCGCTGGCCATATCGGTTCCATAAAGAGCGAACACGTGTTGTGTGTAATCTGCCGATCTGCACAATCAACCGATTTTACATTGTCTATAGTGTTATTATTGCAATAGATATTAGCAGTAAGTGGATCCCGATTTTGCAGACAGGTTAATCAGCTGGTTTTTTTGGTGTGCTAGAATTCGAGATGATTGTGCAGACCCGGTTAATGGGCGCCGGTTTTACAGGGTGTTGCAGGCAGGTATTCAGCGTGGGTTGTGTTAATTGCTAGTTCGATGAGATTGCGCAGGGCCGCAGGCCCGGTTTTGCAAGCAGGTTTACCATCGTGGGTTTTAGGTGCTCGAGTTCAATGATGCTGCCACACAGTCGGCAGATTCGTAGATTGAGCAGATCGGAAGATTGCACGCAACACATGTTCATAGACTTGAGTTAGTTTACATCGTGAGAGTTAAGAAATTTCACCGATTTTACTGTATCTACTCTAGCTATCAAGTGTATGCACGTTTGTCGACTGTCTGTTGTGTATGTAGTATGGATAAGTACTTCGATTCCCTAGACAACGTAGCCAAAGCACGCTATCTCGAGAAAATTGCGTGCATTGGGAATCGAGACCCGTACCAAATAGACAATGCCGAATGGAGTGAGGACCACAATGTGTTCCCATCCTATTTGGATCTCTTGAACTACCTAACATTCCAGTCGAGTCCATTTTATACTCACAAGGACTTTCAGAACTACAAAAGCCTGGATGCCTACGATCGACTGTTCTGCGGTTGGGTTAGTGGTGTATCAGTCTACATCTATCATGTGAACAGTGAGAGTCCCATCTACGTTATCCGAGCACGTGTTATGCACTCCCAGTCTCTGATTATACCATCTCTCTATTCGTGCATGGGTCATGATGAGAGAATATGGGACAGGCATCATGTCAGCACACTGTAATTGTAAAGCCGGGCTTGGTGAATTCTGTTCATATGTTGCCTCGGTGCTATTTTATGTAGAGTATGCTGCACGTGCAAGAGAAATCACCACACCCACTCAAACAGCTGCCTACTGGATGCTGGCGATATATGTATATAAGTGTAAATGTGTAGCGGCGTGCGCTGTACCTGTGTGTTGCAGAGCAGCATTTGACCGGCATTTACAGGTAATTATCGGCAATACGAAGAGAGTAGAGAAACATTGGTAGTAAATACATTTCGTGTTTATTCAGCATTGCTTTTTTATTGAAAATGCTCCAAACGTCTGTGGTCCGCCTGGTCTCTCGTCACTTTACCTTGTGTTGTGATCATGCTAGGCAGCCTAAAAAAGCTGTGTGGCTCTCTCTGATACCGATTGCTGCAGTTGACAACACCGCAGGAGAGCGGAGTTGTGATGGATTTGCTTAATAGGCGAATAAAATGAGCAGAGGTGCGCTGCTCAATGTACTTGTACCATGCCTGAGCTGGTTTCTGTAATCGTCATGGCCGGCGGCGTTGCATTGGGGGTAATATGAAAAATCGCGGAACCCTCTATATATATGAGGTCAACCAATATTCATGAAGCCCTTGTATACATCACACCATGCAAAAAAGGCCTGCTGTTTTTCTAGTGTAAGTGGTGATGAAAATGATATGTAATAATTTTGCGAGCATCGTGAATGTCTCGATTGAATGTCTATATCAGTGGTTCCCGACGCCGGTGGTGGACAGCCAAGAACAACGAAACATGAAATTTTGAAAGTTTATCTTTGGCAGCAATATCGTGAGTAATTGTACATTTTACGCTGGAGCCTCTTGAAATTTTGAACTTAGCTCACTGACCCCCAGTACTACCTTTGTGGACACCCATGGGTCTGGGGACCCCAGGTTGGGAACCACTGGTCTATATCGGATAATATCCTCTTTATCACTCTGTTGCACAGGTCCACCTAACAGTGGCAAGACAGCTCTTGCTGCAAGGATTGCCATGAGTTCTGACTTCCCATTCCTGAAATTCTGCTCTCCAGAAGATATGATTGGTTTCATGGATACTGCTAAGTGTCAAATGATTAAGAAGGTTTTTGACGATGCATACAGGTCACAATTGAGTGTTATCGTCGTAGACAATGTGGAACGCTTGCTAGGTAAGATACTGGGTTTTCCACGGGGGCGTTATGTGGAGAATTTTCTATAGAAAAAGAATATTGAATATTATTATCAGTTTACTGAGTACTTGAGTACTATTTTGATGGGGAGGTTTTATGCCATTGCAAAGTTATTTTCACGTCAGGGGCTGATTCCAGATACATTTTGTGTATTCGTTTCTAGTGGTAGATTTAGAGCATGATTCTTGCCGACACCATTTCCTATCTGTAACCCTTCTTTATGTGCATTAATGACATATACTAACAATTTCACAAGTACTTGTTGTCTCTGAAATGATATTTGTTTACTGGTAAACAGATTATGGACCTATTGGACCCAGGTATTCAAATTTAGTGCTGCAAGCTCTGCTGGTTCTGCTGAAAAAGGAACCACCAAAGGTATATATTGCATTTAGAAATGTTATCAGACTGCTATTGGAAATTATTTAGCAATACTCACTTAACCCTATCAACGTGTGTCTGGAATAGTCAGCGATATATGAAGTGAAATACAGATCAGTGTTCATTTGGCATAATCGTCTAATTTGATCTAAGAGGAACATCTATTCGAGAACATCTATTCGAGAACATGTAATTCAAAACAGTTGCACAACAGTTTTAACAATGTTAATAAACAGACATCCAAGAGGACCATTAAATTACAAACGTTATTGAACTGAGCATGAATAGAATTCATTCTTGTAGTGGTGTGCAGCAGATTGATTGCTATATTATATAGAGGATACGCAGCTGTGATGTTTGGTGATGTTTAATAACTTGCGATACGTCTGGTGCTTTGTTTCAGGGCCGGCGGCTGCTGGTGCTTGCTACCACCAGCCGCAAAGATGTTCTTGGCGAACTGGAAATGTTGTCAGCATTCCAGACGGTGTTGCAAGTGTCCAATATCTCGACCTCAGAGCAGCTCTTGTCTGTACTAGAGTACCTGGATGCATTCAGCTCCAAAGACCTGGACTTTATTTCCCGAAAGACAGATAAAAAAAGGTACGAAACATACAAAACCTAATAGGATTTTAATTCACTGTAAAATAGCTTCATAGAATTTGTGTTATGTACTGATTTATAAATCAGCATGTGCGTAATATCTTATAAGTAGTTAATGTCAGCAGTGTAATGGTGTAAGTTAAAATTTAATCTGATTTGTAATTTTATTTAAGTAAGTGTTTTCTGATGTATTTACAGGATGTGGATCGGCATTAAAAAACTGCTAGGCTTAATCGACATGGCCAAACAGACGGAGGAGGCTTACCGTATACCAAAGTTCCTTAGCAAGTTGGAAGAGGAAGGTGGATTAGAAATGTCATAGGTGACCTTGCTCGTAAAAGCATCTCTAGGGCTCTATCTTTATTTATATATATATGGATGTATCATATGTCATCTAACCGAAAACATGATTGTATAAGGTAGGGGTGGGACGATTCATTGATAGATCCATGTATAACAATACAGACCTTGAAGATACACATATCGTTAGGTTTGACTATTCACAATACACGTATCAAAACTCTACTGAATGAAATCCATATCATTTAGTAGCGTAGTCTCATTCAAAAACGAGAAACATAACATAATTCTCAATTTCATAGCAGTACATGTTTTTATTAAGCACACTGCGTTACTGTTGTGTAATCGTTCACATGATTGGTAAAGTCTCAGATGAGTGTATAGTTTTCTAGGTAGTTTCTCCTAATAGTGTCGCTATACGTATCATATCGTGAAGGTTGTATCGTAATATAGATCGTATCGGGAGCTACTCGTATCGTCCCACCCCTAGAGTAAGGTGGTGTGTGCAGGGCCGGCTTTGGGAAATGTTGGGCCCGAATCAAGTTTCATGGTGCGTGACCCTTCTCGTTGTCATTATTATTATAACTGTGCGGCCTGTGCCATTTTAAATGTTAATTTTAGGCAATTCCAGTTTAGATATAAAACAACTTCTTTCAGTTATATGAATTAAAATTAAACACGTATTTTACTCTCAAGTTCAAGACTCCGTTAACGTATGTCATCTTTTGTGCAAGGCCTCATGCGGCCGCTTTGCTTGCATTGTCTGGCGCTGTGTATGTCGTTTTACATAAGTTTTATTGTTTAAATTTATTCTCGCTATTGGGCTTACAATGAAAGTAATCTTGTACATAATACTGGCAACTTTTGAAATGGAAAACCCAATATGTAACGGAAATAGTGCATAATTTTACTGACACTAATAGTACAAGCTAAAATTGCAAATTCGTATTCACTTTGATGGTAATAACTGAGCATCTAGTGAACTAGCATAGTGGAAACATCAACCCGATTTTAAGACGGGTGTTTAGTTTTCTGTTTTATTTCTATTACTTATTGAAATTGAACAGTGAAATTCGGTATATGTAGCATAAATTAAACCCAATTTAACTGAGAAGCCTTCACTTTATAATCTCCTCACCTATAATTGGTGCTTGAATTAGTCTGGTTTAAAAAAAAACTATTTAAAAATTATGATGGTTATGAAAATTAATAAGTTATTAAAAACCATTATTTTGATTTAAAAATACATTGTTCAAAACCAGTTTGTTGGTTTTCTATCAGCTTAAGTTTCTAACAACATCATTTGCAAATATTCACAACTTTTCTTGCATGACATGTTGGAGACCCGTGTTACTTATTACCTAGGACATTACCTACTCAGTGCATTCCAATTACCTGTGATGTCTTGCCACACAGAAGTGCGTGTACGCGTTATAGCCCTTGTGATTTGTGTAGCAGGATTTGGCAAGAAAACGCGGATGTGTAGCATAGACTGCTCTAATACTTAGATATATATATATATATATATATATATATATATATAATATATACGTGTAACATTAGCGTAGATTCTTGTATGGGTGCTCTGCAGGCTTTGCTGAAAGTCTCAGTCGTGTGCGGTCAGTATAATGTTTGTAATGCATGATGTGGTAAAAACTATGTTGCACTTTTAACTTTAGCACTGTTTAAAACCGGTTTCTTCTTGTATTAAAATTGTAGATCAAATTTTCAAATGATAGCAGTTCCCATTATTTATGCATGGCAGTTTTTGTATAATTTGTGTTCTTTACAGTTCTGTTGAAATCCCATTAACAATAGAATGTCTTTTTTATTATTTAAAAAAATAACATAAGATTACCGTAATGTATGGATGCAAGAATTTATCGTACGATTATTTACATTCTATACATGTTTTTGTATCTTCTCCAAAATTTGGTGGTAGCTGCCGCTATAATTGTGGCCATCTCCACCCCCAGAGCTATGGTTCCAGTGTGTGTGTGTTTGTGTGTGTGTGTGTGTGCGTGTGCGTGTGCGTGTGCGTGTGCGTGTGCGTGTGTAGGTGCGTGCGTGCGTGCGTGCGTGCGTGCGTGCGTGCGCGCGTGTGTGCGCGCGCGCGTGTGTGGGTTCGTGCTTGATCGCAGCTGCAGAGACGACATTCTATTATGTATGTTCTCCTATGTGTGGGCGCATTGTGAAATGCCTGCTCGTAAATGCAATAAATATATCTCGCTCTGTGTGGGTTTACTGTTGTATGTGTGCTGCGAATTCAAGCGTATGCATATTTTGCAGAAATTGTGTAAAAAAATCTAGCTGTTATTTACAACAAATACGATACAGTCGATTTTGGCAGTTGTGAAATTAAATGAATATTACAAACCTATAATAAAATGACATTATGAAGAAGTGATATATACGGTGTAATACGGGCATATGTATATATATATATATATCGTTACACTTTGTTTATATTCATCACAAGTAGCTTTAGCCCGGATTTGTGAATTAATTAGTATCGTAATATTAAATTATACAGCTGCATCGTGCTTATAGGCCTATAATTAAGGCGAATTTTTGCATGCAAGGGATATTACATATGCAACAGCAGTCATTTTTAGGGCAGTTGTCATAACAAGCAGGTGGCGTGAAAAAATGCATGGTGCAGAAATGCTTCCGTCACATAGGAACCAGGAAGCCGTTGTCAGAAATATCATAATTATGAATATCATAAGTCGAAAATGCCATGACTTTTGCACGACACTTTAAACGTTATGACATTTTAGATGTGATGATGATTTTCTTGTGATGTTTCTGACAATGGCTTTACTGATTTTGTGGTCGTGGAAATAATCCATTTATCACTCCTAGCTGCTGTTCTTACTGTTGCGTTATTATTCGTGTGTGTATTATTTATGTGTATAGTCTATTGTCATCCAGCAGATAATAATTTTAGTTGTCGAGACAGACTCGGACAGTAATTAAAAATGAGCTGTCTCCGTTGACACGCACAACCAGATATATGCGATGCCATCCCTTGGTTGAACGGGTTCCTGACCGTTTTTTATGCAGGAAAATAATGAGGAACGAAGACTATCTCGTGTAACAGGTCATGCACTGAGTGGTGGAAATAAATTCGAATTGAGTCGTGTGTGCGCGCCCTGTAGTCTTCTGAGTGGTGCGATCCAGGGGCCCGTTGTCAGAAAACAAAATTAGTCTTAACATTAGCGCTAACTTTACGATATTTCTGACAACGGCTCCCAGGTATTCACAAACACAATTACTGCTTGTATATTTAGCGTAGTGATTCGTAGTCAGCGTCTGTGCTGAAACGCTTTAGCGTAATATTTATGGGTATAGTCTTGGCGCATACATATTTCTTTGTGTATTTGTCAACAGTGAGATGGGCGTACTAAATTTGGATAACTATCTCCGTCTGTGATTGTGCTTTAATTGCTCTCTTACTTATGATTAGGTAGAGTAATACTAATGATTATACTATTGCTAACAAACCAGGGGCGTGTACAGGATTTGTAGCAGGGTGGGGGGGTCTAACCGTAACCCAAACTTGCGAGCACGCGAAGGGGGGGGGGTCCCAACATTTTTGAAATTAGACCCCCTCAGATGCGTTTTCTGCGCGAGCAGGGTGGGGGGTCCGGACCCCCTGGACCCCCACCCCCCTGTACACGCCCCTGCAAACGTAATATTAATTAATTATTGCTGTAATTTTGACGAATAAAATTACTGCTCTGTGTTAAATACATCTAAATTATTTCATTTTCCTCCTGTTAGCCTATATAGAAAGTTTTATCTCGTGGGTTATATAGTCTGCAGCCGTATGCTAAATTGCTGTAGAAAGAATGAGAAATATGTAGCATAAGGGATATATATTGATTCATAATGGATCGTGGAAATATACATATTAATATACCTGGCAACAAACGATCGATATGAACGAAAATCGATTCACAGTGCGACGATGCTGCAGTGCAGCCAAATTCGGAATTATTTTGGCAGCTTAGAAATTATAAACAAAATGTTACTTAGATGAAATGATGTTGATTAGATGAAATACGCACAAAATGTCTATGCCAATATTACTATTCATGCGTGTGTGCATTATATGTAAAATTGGTGATTTCGTCTAAGTAACATTTTGTTTTGCCATACACATGTCATGCGTGCGACCACATGTCTACATTATATCCCACAGTTTATGAATGTAAGTCAATATACTTTACTTTAAAAAATAAACCAAATGTAGAATGATATCACTCTACATTGGTTTATTTTTTTAAATATAGATATAAGAGTGGACTGAATGGCTAATTTTATTTTATTACGCGTGTATCTGTGTTACTTGCATTGATTGGGCATCTGCCCACGTGCCTGCACGTATTATCTCTCGGTTATTACTTCCCACCCAACGGATCGTTTTGTGGGAAACGATTTCAGTTGTTCACCGTGCTGCTGTATGGTTAGTGACACAGTGTAAGGTAGCAAAGACCACGATGCCTATTTAATTAAGTGTGCTTACAAAATTGATTGTACCAGTATTATTTTATGTAGATATAATTATCTAAATAAATCAATATAATAAACAACGGCAATCGGAGATAGCAAACCTTCGCTACACAGCGTAACAGTCCCCCATCTTGCTGGTATAGAGTTTGATGAAATTTGAAGAAATTTGAAGAAAAAAAATCCAGGATTTTTGTTCCTTGATGAATTTTGAATGCACCCGAAGTCTTCTCCACAAAAAAAAAAAAAAAAAGATCTGGATCCGGATCACAACCAAAATCTAATCGATTGATTCTTGGCCCAAGACCACCCCGTTCAAAAAAAAATCATCAAAATCCGTCAGTAACTTGTTGAGATTTCCAGTTGACAGACAAACAAACCAACAAACAAACGAACATGGGCGAAAACATAACCTCATTGGCGGAGGTAAAAATAAATGAAAACTCGCGCTACATGATGTCATCAAGCGATGTGTCATTCACGTACAGGGAGCATCACTGAGTTGTACATAATAACAGCATGTTATTATATACAGCCCAGTGTGGAGCATAGATATCATCAGGAGTGTATTAAAGAGCTCTCTCTCTCTCTCTCTCTCTCTCTCTCTCTCTCTCTCTCTCTCTCTCTCTCTCTCTCTCTC